GTGGAGGGTGGTTCAATAACATTTCTCACTTGGGGCACCCTCCCTCTGCCGCACAGACGGGGACCACAACCTCTACATCTTCAAGGGCAGCCACTACTGGGTGGTGTCAGCCAGTGGCAATGCCAGCGACCCGCGGCCACTGCAGCCACGCTGGCCCGGCCTCCCCGCCGGCATCGACGCCTGCGCCTGGTCCCAGCTCACTGGAAAGTTCTACTTCTTCAAAGGTGGGTGAGGCCCGGGCAGGGGACCCCCCTCGGGGCTGCCACTGCTCCTGCCGGTGTGGCTGTGCAGGTCTGGCTGGAGCCACACCACTCCTGTTTGTGTCCCCTCCCGCTGGTCCCCTCCCAGTGCAGAGCTGGGGCATTGCTGCGTCCTGGGTGTGCAAAACCCTGGGCTCGGTGCCCTGTCAGGGGTGAACCGCATGGCCCTGGCAGCCACATCACCTCCTTGTGCCTCAGTTTCCCCATCAGGAGTGTCAAAGCAAATCCAGGTGCAGTGGTGGGTCTTGGGGAGAACCTGCTCCCCAAAACACGAGGTGCAGGGGGGTGCATGGGAGTTTCACAGTGCACATGGATCCCTGTGCTGTTCCTGGAGCCTGAGCAGCCCCAGGAGCTGGGATACCATCCATGAACTGCTCCAGGAGCTGGGATACCATCCCTGAGCTGCCCAGCAGCCAGATGGGGACAGGAAGGTCACACCAGGCAGCCTGGCTGCCAGGGTCAGCCACAGCTTTTAAAGGCAAGCAGTGGCTGGTGGCTCAGAAAAGGGGCTTTGTGCTGCAGCTGGCTGAGAGCCAGAGCCCCTCTGCCTCCCCAGCCCTCTCCACTCCCTCCATCCTCCCCAGAGCTGCGTCAGGCTGTGCCTTGTGAGCAGAAAGGGGCTTTTGTCTGCCCTGCTGTGGGGACAGGGTGCTGTGGGGACAGCCAAGCCACCAGTCCCCATCGCAATTCCTGCTGCAGTGCTGGTTTTGGATGCCCCAGCCTCGGCTGGATCTGTTTCTGTCTGTCCCATTCGCTGTGCAGCGTCAGGGGGAGGTTTGCCAGAAGCAGCATGGTGGTGGCCTTGCTCTGTCCCTGGTGGTCCCTTTCCAATTCCTTCAAGCCCCTGAGCTGCCGTGCCTCAGTTTCCCCCCAGCCTGGTCCTTGGGGCAGCCCCGCAGTGGTTCCGGTTGGGTCACCAGTGGGATGGCTGTCACTGACACTTCACAAGGCTGGTCCCGAGTCTCGTGGCCGAGCCTGTCCCCATCTCCTGGAGCTCATCCTGCCAGGGTCCCGTGGGGCTCTAACCCTCCCGTTCCCCGCAGGCGGCCGCTGCTGGCGCTACGCGGGCTCCTCGCTGGAGGCAGGATTCCCCCGCAAATGCAGCGCCCTGGGGCTCCCCCGGCACCCGGACACCGCGCTCTACTTCCAGCAGCTCCGGCGGCTCGTCCTCTTCAAAGGCCCCAAGTACTTCGTGGTGGGCGAGGAGCCGCTGGGCGTGGAGCCCTACTACCCGCGCAGCCTGCGGGACTGGGCCGGGCTGCCCCCGGGCACGGCCGGGGCGCTCGCCCACCGCGACCGCGCCGTCTACTTCTTTCGGGATGACCGCTACTGGAAATTCGACCAGGCGAAGCTGCAGGTGGTGGCCACCGGCAAATGGGCCACGCAGCTCGCCTGGATGGGCTGCTGGGATGCCAACAGTGAGCAGGTCCTGTTCTGAGCGCGGTGGGATGGGATGGGATGGAGCGGGGCTCTGCATCCCTCCGGTGTGACTCCGGGTTCCTGTCGGGATGCTGGGGCAGGGACTGGCTGCCTGTTGGAGGCGTGGAGCAGCGACCCAGCAGAGCTCGGCTGCAGCTGGGACAGGTGTGGCACAGCCAGGTGGCTGCTGCCTTTGGGACAGTGGTTTTTTTTATAACAGACTGCAGAAAAATGTATCAGCCACGGGGACTGCAAACACACCCATTTCTGTTTACTTTCAGGATATTGTTACACGTTTTTCAAGCCAGGACTGGGGTTTGGTGATGCTGTTTGATATCTTTGTTGATACTTGTTGATACCTGTCATTTTCCCACGATCAGGCAGAAGTGTCTCGCTGCTGCTTGCTTTGGGGTTCGGATGGTTTTCAGTAACAGACTGAAAATGTCTCCTGCTTAAAACCAAAAGAAAGGAGACATTTGGACAAAAATTTGGGTCGGTGTGGAGCTTTGCCCCTGCTGTGTGTTCAGACCCCGGGCTATGGAGGGTTGGGGATGTTTGCTGGGCTGTGCTCACATCCCAGTGCTCTGCTGAGGCACCAGCTGGAGACACAACCACAGTGGGATTTTGGGCTGAAAGCAGCGGGGTTTGGTGCAGGAGCCTCTTTGGGGTGGAGAGAAAGGGGGGCCTCAGCTGAGCTGCAGCTCACAGGCAGCAGGAGAATTGCCTTGGATGGGTTTGGGGTGCCTGGGTGGGGTCTCCCATGTCTGACAAGAGCTGTGCTCACCTGGCAGCCCTCACTGTGTGCACAGAAGGTGCCTGTGCTCCGCTGCCTCTGCACGGGATCAGGGAATTCCTGACTCCCTGGGCCCCACCCGGATGAACGGGGGTGACAAATAACTGGGGGAGGAGGGGAAGAGGAGAGGGTGAGCAGGACAGAGGGACATGTCTGTGCATGCAGGCTCCCGGGGACTGTGTGGCTGCATATTCCTCATTCCTTTCCCAAGGCAGACTCCCCACCTGGAAACGCTGCTGGCTCCTGGGCAGGGTCCCCAGCCATATCTGCAAAGGGCCATTGTGTCCCAGGGCTGGGGATGGACCTCAGCTTCCCAGGGCTGGAATTCTGAGGCATTGGTGCTGAGCAAGACGGGGCTCAGCTTTATGAAATGATTTATTGGAACCATTTATGCGGTGGTTCTGCCTGACTCAGAGCCCAGCACTGCTCTGGTCCTGCTGCACTGTCAGGGTGCTGTGCTGCGGTGCCCTCCTGATGCCAGCAGCTTCCAGGATTCCTCTTTCCCTCATCTTTGCCCTTTCCAGACCTTCCCTGCAGAGCAGGGCTTGCCCTAAGCAGGGTGCCAGGGCTGGTACTTCCGAGGGCTTTCGGTGCTGCCCGATGCCAGCTGAGCTGTGGGTGGGGAGCCAGCACTCCTCCCATTCTCCAGAACCTTGTGAGTGAGCCTTTCATGTGCAGACACAGACACAGGGTCTTCATCTGCCCAAAACCTCAGGGGACTTTCCACGTTGCCAGAGAAACACACATTGTCATAGGAGTTGAATGACACTGAGGTGACGTGGCCTGCAGGGAGTCCCAAGGGCTTGGAGACCTGACAGCAAATAAAACCAACCTCTGGATTTGTGGCATTGGGGTTTGTGCTTGTTTTCATGTCACGCTTTGGGGTTGGGTTGGTTTTTTTAAGCAAATCTCCAGTTTCCTGACAGGGCTGTGTTTAAGATGCCTGTGGGTGTTTGGGGTTGGAAGGGGGGTTGCTGAATCTGGCCTCAGCTTTCATGCTGGCAAAGAGGGGAGATGGATCCCAATGAAAACTCACTGATGGCCATGGAAACATGGGAATTCTCTTTCTTACTTCATCCCCGAATTACTGAGGATTTTTCCACACTTTGGGATGTGTTAATAGGTATTTTGCCCAGGCTGAATTCATTCATTATCCCTTTTCCTGTCCCCTTAGCAGAAAGCCAGGCATCCCATCTGCTGTGTGACTGGAGGCTGAGGGTGGGACCGCCTCAAATCCTCTCCCCTTTTTGGGTTTTCCATCTCTTCCCTGGCTTGCTGCCATGTGTTTCCTGGGGCTGTGTCCTGTGGGATGTTTTGGGGCCCTGTGATGCTGCCAGGGCTGGGCTGAGCTCAGCACTGCTGGCAGGGGCAGCTGGGGTCACTCTACTGTGTCCCCTGTACCCCATCAGTCCGGGGGGTCTGGGGGAGGTGAACTCACACCCTGAGTCTTTCAATCCACCCCCCTGGGTGCCCTGGATGGAAATCCAGCTTCTCAAGGGTTCTTTTCTCCTGCTGGGCTCCCTGGCTGGGCACATCAGACTCAGATTCCTCTGGCCTGCCACACATTCCCCAAACAGAATAGCTGGGATTCTTGCATTCCCTCCCCCAAAATGACCCTGGCTGGACACTGAGTTGCAGTGACATCAGCAGCTGGCTGCAGGGACAGGATGGGTCCCCCACCACAGCAGGGAACCCCTCAAAGCCCAGGAGAGGCTCTGGTTTGGCCCCGAGGCGTGAACACTTCCCTGGCAGGTTTGTTTTTTGCAGAAGTACCTGGGTGCTGGGGCAGCTCTGCAAGGCCTGGCTTAGGGAGGGAGTATCCCACATTCCCAGAGGTGCCCACTCATGTGCAGCTCTTTCCTTAAAGCCCCAACTCCTGGAGTCACTCCATCCCTGCAGGAGCTTGGCTTTTCCCAAAGACCTCACTGCTGTGGGTAGTGAGGGAAGGAGTTTGGAAAGGAGCACAGAGCAGAGCAAGCCCAAAGGTGGGTGTGAAAATAAACCCTCCTCACCTTGAGGCTGCCCTGAGGATGCACCTTGTGACCCCCAGGTCACCTCACCTGTGGTGGAGGTGGGTGTGGGGGTTTGGGGAAGGGGGAAAATCCCCCTCGTGTGGTTGGGAGCCACCTGGGCGCTGAGGAGCTGCTCTCTGACTCCTTCCTGCCCCGGAGTCAGGGCCCTTGGGGGGAAAATCCACCCCTGGCACGGCTGGGGAGGAGCAGGGCTGTGGGAGAGGAGCAGGTGCTGAAGGGTTAACAGGGAGTGTTTGCAGCCAGTCCCTTGTCACCAAGGAGAAGCGATCAGCACTTGGGAAGGAAACAAAACACCCACTGCCCAGGAGGGTGGTTTCCTCTCCCCAGCAGCACTGCAGCCCTGGGACCCCAGCAGGGCTCTGGGCACCCCCGGGACACTGCCACCAGCCCGTGTGGCACCAGGTGAGTGTGGCTGCCCGGAGGTGTGCTGGGGACAGGGCTGGGGCAGCTCCCCCTGTCTCCATCATCCCTTTCCCTCGACCTCCTCCCAGTCTTATGGCAGAATGTGGGGGACAGCGGGCACGGAGCATCCGTCCCTACCAGTCCAGCGGGCAGTACCTGTATGCCATGAAGGAGGACCTGGCAGAGTGGCTGAAGGAGCTCTACGACCTTGACATCGAGGTGGGCACCTTCCTGGAGGTGCTGGAGACGGGGGCTGTGCTGTGCTCCCACGCCAACCACGTCACCCAGGTGGCCGGGGAGTTCGCCCGTGCCTGCCCCGAGGTGGCCCAGCGCCTCCACCTGCCCATGGCCGGTGTCCCCTGCAACCTCACAGCACAGCCAGGCACCTTCCAGGCCAGGGACAACGTCTCCAACTTCATCCAGTGGTGCAGGAAGGAGATGGATATCAAAGGTAGGATGCCAGGCTCCAGCTGTCCCATGTCTCTGTGCTCAAGTCCCCTCCAGCCACTCCGTGTTTTGCCATGTGTCCCCCAAAGCCAGCGCATGGGACAGCACTGTGTGCCAGCATCACTGAGCTGGCATCCCTTGTACAAGGTCCTCCAGGCTTGGCAGCAGCTTTGCAGAGTGCTGGCACCATTGCAGTTGGGTGCAAATATGCACAGGAAGAATGGCAAAGGAAAGGGTGGATGGCACAGTGTGTCCCTGCCAGCACGGCATGATCCCAGCCCTAAGGACAGCAGGAGAAGTTCTGGCTCTGAGCAAAGCATCTGCCACCCTGTCCTACCACCATGGATGCCCAGGAAGGGGAGTGGCACAGAGCAAGACATCCTCAGGGCACTCAGACACTGAGTTTTGTGGCTTTGGGATGCCATGAAACAGCTGTAGATGCCCAAAAGGAAAGGCTCTTCCCCCTTTATCACTTACCCCAACTCCTGTTGAACCCCGCCATACTCCTGGTGGGATGGCTCCAGTGAAGAACACCCTTTTGGGTGGGTCTTGCCTCCTCCATCTGTGCCCCCCATCCCCACGTGCCAGCCCTGGCTCAGCCCTGCCCTGCCCTGCCCAGATGTCCTGATGTTCGAGACAGAGGACCTGGTGCTGAGGAAGAACGAGAAGAACTTCGTGCTGTGCCTGCTGGAGCTGGCGCGCCACGCTTCCCGCTTCGGAATGCGCGCCCCGACCCTGGTGCAGATGGAGGAGGAGATCGAGGAGGAGCTTCGGCAGGGGCTGGACCTGCCTCCCACTGAGCCCACCCTGCCCCGGGCCCCCAGGAGAGCACGGGACCTCAACAACCTCGACCAGATGGTACCAGGGGGCATGGGGGCATGGAGAGGGCTTGGAGATGGATTGGATGGGCATGGAGATGGATGGGGATGGAGATGGATTAGATGGAGATGGATGGGGATGGATAGGAGTGGGCATGGAGATGGATGGACATGGAGAGGGATGGGGATGGAGATGAAGGTGGATTGGAGGGGCATGGAGATGGATGGGGATGGAGATGGATGGGGATGGGCATGGGGATGGATTGCATGGGGATGGATAGGAGTGGGCATGGAGACGAATGGGGATGGGGATGGGCATGGAGAGGGATGGATGTGGAGAGTCATGCGGATGGAGATGGGCATAGAGATGGATTGCATGGGCATGGAGATGGATGGGGTGGATTGGATGGGGATGGGCATGGATGGGGTGGCATGGAGATGGATGAGGGTGGGTATGGCCACCCCAGGACCTTTCCCAGCAGCCCTGGTGAGGATCCATCCCTGCCACCCACAGGTGCAGCACCTGGTGAGCCGCTGTACCTGCCCTGTGCAGTTCCCCATGATCAAGATCTCCGAAGGGAAATACCAAGTGGGGGACTCTGACACCCTCATCTTTGTCCGGGTGAGTCTGCTTCACCCCTGATTTTAGGGGAAAAGCATCAGGAATTCTGCTCTGCTGCCATGACCCCTTTTCCACAATCCCCCAAAAGGGGCCCATGTGGGAGTTCTGATCATTATTCCCAAAGCAGGGCAGCAGGGGAGCTCAGCCCTGTGACAGATGTTGGTATGGATTTAACCATCCATGTGTGTGGGACAAAACCTGACATCCCACAGAGCCACAGCCTGCTCTCACCCAGCAACGGGAGCACTGGGATGCTCTGAATCCATCCCCAAGCCAGGCCAAAGAACTCAGCACACGACAAAGGGACTTTCCATAAGGGTCCCTCACCCTCTTTGTGGTGACAAAATAAACCTGTCGGGACGGCCGCAACAGCTGGGCCAGGGACGCGGCCGTCCTTTGGGACACCTGGTGGCACTTAGGGCAAGCCACAGCTCTGGAGGCCCGGCCGAGCGTGCCACCCCCAGGCTGCTGCTGTCCCCTGGCATGGACATTCCCGTGCAGGTCCTGCGGGAGCACGTCATGGTGCGGGTCGGGGGCGGCTGGGACACGCTGGAGCACTACCTGGACAAGCACGACCCGTGTCGCTGCACCTCGCTCTGTGAGTCCCCGCTCCCCAAACCCCGCGGCTGGCTGAGGGCGGGGGGGGGCGGTCTGTGGCCGGTCTCGATGCTTCTCGGGGATGTTTTCATTAGCAGGAGGCTTTGGTACTGCCATGCCTACTTGTTTTGCAGGGGAATGTCGGGTTTTGGGGACTTTCTTTGGCTTTGGTGGCCACTAGAGGTCATGGAAGACTTTTGGATGGAGCCGGACCCCAAAAGCCGCTTTGCAGGGAGCGCAGCTTTCTGCCGGCACCCGCGGGGGGCTGGATGCTGAGCCACGGCTGGGTGGGCTTCTCTGGGGTGGGTGAAGGGAACAGGACTGCCGAGCCCCCCTCGTTGTCCCCACAGCTCACAAACAAGCCTGGAAAGCCCGGAGCCCGCAGCAGCAAGTGCAGCACGAGGTGCGGCTGTGCCCGGCCGCCCGCAGCCCCCAGCCCGCACTGCTGGTCAGCCGCTCCCAGAGCCCCCTGCCCCCTGTCACCTGGGGGGCCCGTGTCCCCCCTGGCCCCCGGTGCCCTGCCACCCCCTCGCCAGGTCGCCAGCCGGCTGCCAGCCCTCACCCGGAGCCCCGGAGGGTCCCTTCGGGCAGGTGAGTGCTGCAGAGATGCTTCGTGCCCCAAAATGCCTGGCTTCAGAGCAGGTTTTGGAGCATCCTTGGAATTTTTCCCCCCTCTCTTCTGGATGTGCCCAGCACCAGGCGAGACGGGGGGGATGCAGCAGCTCCCTGGCCCCTCTCCTGTCTCTCCCTGCAGGATGCGGGAGCCACCCGCTGTCGCTTTGGGGAGGCAGCCGCCACCATCCCGCTCACCTGCTCGGTCCAGCTCCCCTGGGCACGGGGCGAGGGGCCGGGCAGCCACCCCTTCCCGGCTGAGCCTCCCGAACGGCGCGGGGGTGCCCCGGGCACCGCAGGGCACCGGCCCGGGGAAACCCATCCCTGCGGCACCGGCACGGGGCGGGTCCGCGGCGCCCGGCCCACGGACGGCACCGGCACCTCCGAGAAGCGCCCAGCAAGGAGGAAAATCATCTGGGCTGGCTGCCAGGCCACAGGAAACGGGGACACCCACCACAGCGACACACCGAGCCCCCAGCCCCTTAAAGGTCCGTGCCCCCAGTCCCCTAAAGGTCTGCGCCCCCTCCTCGCACCGGGATGCTCCGGGAGACTCCCAGAGCCTGAAGAGCCCACGGGAAGGGCGGCAGGGAGCCCTTGGCCGGGGCCGACAGCCCTCACCCCGAAATTCCTGCAGCCAACCCCCGAAACCGGACAGCGGCGTTAAATCCCCCACCAAAGCCAGCCCGGCCGCCCCCCGGCCCCCCACCCCCCTGGGGCGCTCTGCAGGGGGGTGCAAGGTCTGTGCCGCGGGGGACGGTCCCCAGGGGACACGGCAGTGCCACCCAGCCCCGAATACAAGGGCTGTGGGCGCTGAGGGACCTCGGGCCCCCGAGGATGAAGCCGGGGGAGCCTGTGGCCCTGGCGATGGGGCCGGGGGGCTCCGGGGGTGCTGCGGGAACACGCAGCCCCCCGGCTATGACAGGGTGCTGGAGGAGCTCTCCCGCGGGCCGCAGCCGCTGCGCCCTGCGGGGATGTGGAGCCAGGTCCCCAAAAGCCCCGCAGGAGCGGCCCCGCAGCTCGCAGCCCCGGGGGAGGCAGAGCGGCCGGGGGTGGGGGGCCAGACCCCGCGGGCACCCCGGGCCAACAACGCCGCCAAGCCCCGGCGGTGCCTGAAGAAGCCCGAGCGTGTGCCCTCCATCTACAAGCTCAAGCTGCGGCCCAAGGTGCGTCCCCGGCGGGACCACAGGCCGGGCAAGCGGCCCTCCCGCATCCCCACCCCGCTGGGGCATCGCCCCCCTGCCCCCCGGGGCCAGCACCGACCCCCGGCGCCCCCCCGAGCCCCCCAGGCCGGCAGCACACGCCCCACGGCCAAGCCGCCCCTGGCTGACAGCGGCACCTGGCTGACCGAGGATGATGAGGAGTCGTGGGTCTGAGCCCGTGGGGACGGACGGATGGACGGACAGACGGACGGACCCGTCCCTCCACAGGCGGGAGCGGGGCTGGAGCTGAAGGTGGAGCTGCAATGTCCCAGGTGTCCCCGGGCAGCGCGGTGGGATTGCTCCCAGACAGCCCGGGGGGTTCAGCCGCACCTCCCTCTTCCCAATGGATTTTTTCTGTACTGTAATCCTGCTAAGCAGGCGCTTTTTGCACTGGTTTGGGTGGAAAAATCCAGCCCCAGATTGAGAGAGCGGGATGTTTTCTGCAGGAGGAAGGGTTTAGCCCCCCTGAAGAGGGGACACCCCATCCCTGACGTCCATAAAAACCATCTCGCACCTCAGTGTTCCACATCTGCACCACGGGACCAGCGAGCTCGGGTCTGACAGCTCCAAGAGCCTCCGTGAGTGCCTGGCTCACTCAGCTGGGGGGTCACACGAGGGGACCCTTGCTGACCCCTGTGGTGGCCGTGGTCCCCTCTGGCATGCTGGATGTCACCGAGGGTCACAGTGCTGCTGTACAGTGCTGTACACCGAGGGTCACAGTGCTGCACCCGAGCCCCCAGCAATGCTGTTTGTGCAATAGAGTTGTGCCAAAGCTCCTCTATTTCCACGTCTTTTCTGCGTGGGTGGGGAGGGAGAGAGGAAAATCCTGATGTGGGCACAGCAAACGCCCCTCTGAGAACACCACAATGCCCAGGAGAGTCTCATTTTCTGTGAGAGGATGAAGTCAGCCCCACTTCCCTGCAGAGGAGCTGCAAATGTGAGTTCTGGGACTCGGGGAATGCAAAACCTGCCAGCAAAAACACTCCTGAGGCTGGTACAGAACAAGGGGGACAGACCTGATTTTTAATTCAATTTCAAAGAAGGAGGTGCAGGGCATCACAGGCTGTATAGACACCTCGGGAATCTCCAACAAGGAGTCCAGGGGGGAAAGGGAAGCCAAGTCCAGGCAACTGGGATGCTCAGTGGGGCAGGAGGAGGAGGAGGGGGAGAGGGAAGCATCCTTGGTGGGGCCGATCCAAAGCCAGGCATCACCTCCACGAGCACGGGGACAGAGCCCTGGCACTGCCCTGGGCACAGCAGTGGGGACATCCCGGGCTGTGGCAGGCCCAGGCTGCTCTCAGCAGGACCAGGGTGGTGCTGGGTGAGTGGTAAATCTGTGGTAAGGTGTGAGTAGGGCCGCGGGGCGCTCGTGGCTGCTGCCGTGTGCTCCGATCCCTGCGCCTGGACACCTCGGATCTTCCTGCCTGGGGTCCCCTGCCTGCACCCAGGGTGCCACCACCACCACCCACCCCTTCCTGGGCTCTTGGGAAAGTAGCTCTTTGTAGCCCTGGTTTTCCTGGGAGCTGGGAAATGCTGTCAAAGCAGTGAGAGTTGTTATTATTACTAATATAACTTCCTCTGTCTATAAAGTACAATAGAATATAACAATTATATTTATAACCTTTTTTTTTCTTTTTTTTTTCTTCAAAATACTAAATAGATGCTATAAAAACCTGTAACTAATTGTGCTATAAACTGCAGGCTACAGGGTTATAACAAACAATGTATTGGCTTAGTTGTTGATATGTGTACGTCGGAGCACTTTATAAATGCTTTTTTATTAGCATTTACCAAGGAATTTCCTTCTCAGACAATTTGGAGGGATAAAGCTCTAGCCAGAGATCGATAAGTGGACTTACATGTGTTAATAAATCCTGACAGGATGAGCTTGGACAGGGGAGCCAGGTTTGCCATGAAGGCAGGGGATGGTGACAAGTGCCACGGCCCTTCCTGGCTGAGATGGACCCATGTCCCCCCATTGCCTTTCCTAATTTTTTCCCTTTTTTTTTTTTTTTTTCTTTTTTTTTTTTTAATAATTTTGGAGCAAGGAGTTTGATTCCCCAAGCAGGGAGGGGGGAGCAGGATGTACCCCCAGCCCTGGCCCAGGGAAAGGGTGGTCAGAGGCACTGGAGCTCAGCTGGAGCTGCCTTTAATGGGAAGCAATTCCAAGAGCACAGGGGAGCTGCTGGGCCGTGGACACCTGGCTGCAGTTGGCAGGGAGGGCTGGGTGTCCTGTTTTGCTGCCCAGAGCAGTGCTGAGCCCCTCCAGCTCCTTGTGACAGCAGGAATCATGGAGATGGTTTTGCTGGAGGATGGATCAGACACAGATCCTGCCTCAGGAGATGAGGATGGTGTTTCCCTGTGTCTCACAGGGACCAGCCATGGAGAAACCACGCTCCTCTCAGCCTCTTGCTCTCCCTTCACCACCCCATCATCGTTTCCTAACAGGGGCTGCCCTTTGCCAACCCACCCTGCAGGGCAGGATGCAGCTCTGCTGCAAACACAAACCACAAGATTAAAAAATAATAATTAAAAAAAAAATGGAGGGCTCACTTTCCTATTAGGGATGTGCAGAGAGATTAAAAAAAACCAAACAACAAAACAAAACAAAAACTCAAGAATGCAGCTGGAAGTGCTGCTCCAGCTCCCTGTTGCTGCCGAGGCAAATCCCTGTGGGGAAACCCGGCGGGGTCGGACCTGGTGGCACTGCCGGTGGCACAGGGGGACACAGGGGACACCCCGGGGGCTGGGGTGAAGCCGTGCAAAGCCGGTCACCTGCTGAGCCCAGGACGAGAGGTAGCAGAGGGGTGACCTGCCCGGCAAGGAGTGTTCCCAGATTATTTGGTGTTCACGGGCTGGGGGGAGGAGAAGCCTTCCTGTGCCGGGGCTGAGCTGGGGCAGAGGGGAGCTCAGAGCCCTGCGAAGGCAGAACCCGGCTCCTGGGGATATCAGGAGCAGGATTGCAACTTACTTTTTTCCCCCTTTCTTGCTTTCATCCAGAAATTCCACCTGGAAGTCTGACCCGACCGAGCCAAGAGACAGCCCGTGTAACCCGGATTTCTCCACAGGGAGAAATCCCAGCTCCACAAGGGGAAAAGCAGAACTCCTGTTTCCCTATGCCCTAGAGAGAGAACACCCCCAGAACAGCGGGATACAGGGGCTGGATAATTCCCTTCCAGGAGCAGGCGATGGCAGGCAGGCATTGCCCCCGTGCTGCCAGGGCAGGGACTGGCAAGGATGAACTGGCAGCCAAAATCCGGACACACTCCGAGGGTACCTCAGAGGTGGCACCTCCTCCACCCTCCAGTGCCGTGTACAACCCCCTGGGGTGGCTTTGGCCTCAGGCTCTGGAGGCTTGGAGAGAGCTCAGGGACATCCCTCACCCCTCACTATCCCCAGGCAGCCTGGCCACCCCCTGCACCACCCTGCCCAAGGTGCCCCGTCCCCACATGTCACCTCAGCAACCCCGGAGGTGCCTCCAGCACAGCTCCCACTGCCCGGGGAGCAGAACCACCCCCGGGTTTGGGCAGCCCGGGCAGGGGCTCACATGATGGTGCAGCGGTTCCTGCGCAGCGCGCCCTGGAAGCGGATGGTGGTGTGGACGTGCTTGCAGCGGGCACAGCCCACGCTCTTGAGGAGCTCGCTGAAGAGCAGCAGGATGTGCCAGTTGTACTTGGCCGAGCACTCGATGTAGCCGCACTTCCACGTCTTTTTCACCAGGTTGGAGACGTTCCAGCGCGGGATCACCCGGCCCCGCTGCAGGTCGCGCTTGTTGCCCACGATGATGATGGGCGTCTCCGAGGTGCCGATGACCCTGGGGAGGGCGGGCGGTGAGGCAGGGCGGCAGGGGACGGAGCACACAGGGACAGCCCACAGAGCTCAACCCGACCCAAACGGGCTCCTGGCTAAGGCTTGCCTTGTCCCCCTGTCCCTCTCTGTGTCCGGCCACCCCTCATGCCACCTGCAGCTGCTCACCCACAGGGGACACCCGCCTGGCACCTTAATGCACAATCAACAGCCAGAATTAAAGGCAGTTCCCAGTCAGGCTCCTCAAAGCTCTGCCAACCTTGACCCTGTTTTTCTCTCTTGGAGTAAGAGTGAGAGGTGTGCATGTGAAGTGAAGGGTGCTGGATGTGCTGCTGGTGTGGAATCTTACAGAGGGCAGCCAATCCTGTTATCCTGGGAATTCTGTCAGGAATGAGGCAGGAGCTGTGACCCTCTGCTCAGAGCCTTTGCTGGGCATTTTGCAGCTCATTTTTGGGGCTGACAGCAGAGAATCCTCCAGCCCACCCTTGGCTCAGAGCAGCCTGCCTGGGGTCCTGCTGCTCTCTTGGTTTTTGGGCTCCCATCCCTGCAAAGGGGCTCTGTGCCAGTCTGATATCTCATCTCTGATGCCAAGGTGTACCCCCTCGGTGCTGAACTCCCTTGCCAGGAGCCAGGGGCTCTGCCACCGTGGGGATGCACCATCCCAAAGCCACCCCTCCCTACCTTGTTTCCAGGATCTGCTGGCGGATGGTTTTGATGTACTCGAAGCTGTCAAAGCAGCAGATGTCATAGACCAGGATGTAGGCATGGACACTCCGGAGCCCCCGGCAGCACACGTCTGCCCACTCCTGCAAGGAGCACAGAGGGATCAATCCTGGCTCAGCTGCTGTGCCTGGGGTGCCCTGCCCTGTTCTGGGGTGGGCATCCCAAGGAGGATGCTGTGGCAGCAGGGGGCTGTGCAATCCCCCAGCCCCAACAGGCAGCACCCACCTCTGCCCTGCCCTGACCCCTCTGTGTGTGCCCCCACAGCTCTGCAGCCACCCCCCACCTCCAGAGACCCCTCACCCCCCCGACAATCCAGGGGACAGGTAACAGGATCTGTCAGCCCCAATTCCACTCCTGAGGGAGGATTGCAGCCTAATTACAGCACAGAGCTGAGCTGGGCATGGGGCTGAATGCAGCCCCCTGCTCTGGGTGTAAGAGCTTCATCCTCCAGAGCTGCTAATTAGCTGTGTTAATGAGGATGCACCCTGGTTTTTGGGGCAGGGCAGGTGAGGAGGATGCTGAGCCCCATCTGAGCTCTGAGGGTGATGCACCAGCAGCTCTGTGGGTCAGAGGGGGAAGGTGACAGCCAGTCTGTCCGGGGGACATGGGGACAGAAGAGGAGCAGAGGCTGCTCAGGAACTGAGTCTGTGAGAGCAAGATGTGGATCCAGGGCAGAGGCAGGCAGGAGAGGCCTCTCTACAGCCAAAATCTGGAGCTGGAAGAAATTAATACTCTTAGGAAACCGTTGGGTTTCAGGGAACAACTGGATGATTTTTTTTTTTTTTCTTTTTTCCATGCTATGAGTGAAAGTCTGCCTCACTTCAGGCACTTTCCCATCCCAGCAGTGGGACTGGGAATGGCAGTCCCTGCAGGCAGCACTGCAAATCCCTCCTGGGTGCCTCTGGAAAGGAGAAAGGCTCTCCAGGGGGGAAAGGCATCATTCTCCCTCAGCAAACCCCTTCAGAGCCATGAATCAGCCCTTCCCAAGTTTATCATCAGAATGAGGTGGGGAAAGGGGAGTTTTGGGATGTGGTTGATCCCTGTCACAGAGGGCAGCAGGGGAAGGAGCTGGCAGGGAGCAGAGGGACACAGCCTCTCCCTGCCCACCGAGGGGAGATGCTGGGGAGACCCTCGGGTCTGGGATGCAGGAGTGGAGCAGCAGCCTCTGGGCTCCTCTGAGTACTGATAAATCAAGGAGACAAGGAACTGCAGCTATTTCACCGTGCTGGGGGCAGCTTGCTCCAGCTCTGCCATGTCAGGGTGGTTTTCCTCAGCAGTGCAGGTTTTCTGGGATGCTTGAGCTGGAGAAGTGTTGCACTGCAGGAGCAGCATGTCGGAGAGCCACTGGCTCCTGCTCCCCTTCCAGGACAGCACTGCAGGGATGCTTCTCCTGGCACGGAGCTGAGCCCGCGATGTTTCCCAGCAGACAGAGCTGTATCCCTCACCAAGGGCCTCTCCTTCTCCTCAGAGCCATCCCTCTGATCACCCTCTCTTCCCTGGAAACCTCCATCTGTTCCCACTGGCCACCTCCTCTGGAGAGCAGCAAGGCAGGGAGTTAATGGAGTGTGTGAGCATCGGCTGCCGTGTCAATAAATTACCCTTTGCTATTTCAGGCTGCTTCTCATGCTGACCTTTCCTTCCCTGCACTCACCCATTAATTTTTAAACCTTCTCCTCGCCCCTGGAGTGCTCATTTCACCTCCTGCCTGATGGCACAGGGACTCTTGGAGCACTACACAGCCCCTGTCACCCCATCCCTGCTGGGGACAGGGACACTGGCTAATTGAGTTGGCCCCACTGGTGGCACAGCTCCTTTCCCCACAGTGGGGACACCACTTGTGCCCCTGGGACTGGGGCTATGGCGTGAGCTTAACATCCCCTTTTCCCCATTAACTCCACCCAGAAGTTGTTGGCACTGGTGGCAACACTTTCCAACCCCACACTGCCTTTTGGGGGTGCTTTGGACGCACCTGAGGGGGCAGAGGAGGAGCTGGTGGGCTCAGAGCTCCAGGAACAAGCCCAGGCAGTGCTGGAGAGGGTGATGGCCACTCCCAGGAGGGGACAGGCTCTGCCTGGCTTGGGCAGTGTGTGCCTCGGGGCTGTGGCTCTCCAGGAACCCCTGGGTTTCACCCAAATGTTCTGTTGGCTCTGACAGCCACGGGCCTGGATCCCAGTGCTGCAGGACCCAGCTGGATCCCAGCTGTGGGCAGTGCCAGAGCCACGCTCCTTGGAGTGGGATGCCACCTCTCTTGTGTTTGCTGTCACCAAACTTCAGAACACACTTCATCCTGGACCTGCTCAGCAGGATCCATGAGCACACAACCCCTCAATCACCAGCCAAACCCTGCCACGGAGGGAGAAGCATCCCCCAAAAAGACAGAACTGGAACCCCACAGAGTTTAACAGCAAAACCCCACCACAGGGGGGGTCAGCACAGACCCCCAGAGATGGAGGCACCCTCGGGTGCCCCCCTACCTGCAGGGTGTTGACAGGGAAGGCGGTGATGGGGGGAAAGTCCATGATCTGCAGGTCGTGGACGTGGCCGTTCATGACCACGGCGGGCAGGTAGACGCGGCGGGCCGTGGTGGGCACGCAGACCTCGCTGAACTCGTTGTACAGGAACTGCCGGACTATGGCGCTCTTGCCCACGCCCTGGGCTCCCAGCACGGCGATCTTGAAGGTTGCCACCATCCCGCTGCGCGCCGGCCGCTGCCCTGGTGCTGCCTCCGCGGTGCCGAGGCTGCATATTCCCGAGCAGGGGGCCTCAGCCCCATTCAGGATGCATTTCCCCTCCGGGGCTCCCTGTCACTGCAAGGCCAAGGGGAAGCTGGTCAGAGACACCCCGGAGTTGCACTGGTGGTGCTTCAGGGGGTGTTTTTTTGGAGCAGGAGCTGACGATGCACCCGGCGGTCTTGGCACTGCAGGACCTCAGGGTCTCCCTTCAACCTCCCAGCCCAGCGGCCAAGGAGAGGCAGGATTTGGGTGAACTTTGTTCCAGGAAGGTTCTCCCAGGCACATTCAGCCCTTTCAGTAGCAGAACAAGGAAAGGCTCTGTCTGCAGCTCAGGATTTGCTCAGGGTCCCAGGCTGTGCTGGGCACTCAACCCACGGCCACCGTCCCCAGCTGCTCCTTCCCAGTGCTTCCCAAGGCGGGGAATCCATCTTCCCTCGCCTTGGACAGCCGGAATTGCCTTTTGCGGGCGGGGGGAGATCGCCGTGCGCCTGCGAGCGACAGCTTGAACGTTTCGTTTCAGGCTTTGAGCGCCTGGGCAATTAACTTGATGGGGAATCATTTGCGAGCCAGCTGACAGGGTGAGCCCAGAGCCGCCGCTGTGCTGGGGCCGGAGGGCCCCGGGGCCGGGCCCACGTGTGGGGGGGACACGGGGGGATAACCCACACACAGGGATGTGGGAGCTGAGCCTGAGGAGTCCCAACACCCGCTGGCACCGGGCTCCCGACCAGGAGCTGGGATGGGCACGGCACGGGCGAGGGGATGGGTCCCGCTTCCACTGGCTCTCATCCCCAGGAAGCAGTTCGTGCTTTATCCCAAAATGTGGATGATTTGACCAATTTCTGATGCTCTGGCCCATTTTCCCTAAAAACCACCCCCGAAGTGCAGGGCAGCAGCTGAAAGTGTCAGGTTCAAACACCCTGTTGTGCCTGTTTGATGGAGATTATTTACCCCGGGGGGAGCCTGGGCACAGCGGTTCCCACTGCTGGGTGCTGGAGTGGCCAAGCTTCCCGGGATCCCTTCCCTGGGCCATGGCTCACACCACCATCACCCCCCTCACGCCAGGACCGGGGACCCTGTCCCCCCGTGCTGCTGGCACTGTCCCCCGGGGTGCTGGCTGTCCCCAGCCCCGCAGTGGGAATGTTTCTGTGCCAGATGCAGGGAAATGGGGGTTGCAGGAGCCCCCAGTCCCGACCCTGCCAGGGCCTTTATCCGCCAGCAGACAGCACTGTCACTGCAGGTCCCAGGGGCCACTCTGCTGCAGGGACAGCCCCGTCCCCACGGACCCTTCCTCCTCCAGCAGCGGCCCCAGCTCCTCTGCGGGGCCGGAGCGTGATGGAGCGACACAACTGGAAACCAGTGCCCGCAGGGCTCGCTGGAACTGGGGCACGGGCTGAGCCCCGCTCTGCCTCCGCCAGAGCCTCACCGCCCTCTGTGCTGGCACACGGGGACGCTGCACCCCAAAAGCATCACAGCCCGACCTGATGGTCCCCGGCCCTACAAGCAGCCACTGTGGGAAACTGAGGCACAGCGGGGGGAGCCTTCGGGGCACCCCACGGTGGGGCGGTGGGGCAGGGACCATTGGCGGCTCCTCGGGCGCTCAGCACCAGGCCGGGCTCCGCGGGCTGCAGGGCCGGGCGGGGGCTCGCAGGGGGCTCCGGGAAAGGTGGATCCGGCCCCCGCTGCGACCTTGGCCACGCTGCCACGCCTGGGGCACTGGAAGGAGCAACCCCTGAGCTCCGTAGGACGGGAGCAGAGTCCCTCACCCCACATCCCTCCCCCCCACATCCCGCACCCCCCGTTCCCCTCACCCCCCGCATCCAGACCCTCCCGGGGATGCTCCGGCCCCGCTGGGCAGCGCAGCACCCCCGGCCCGCGGGGTCGCTGGGGCTGGAGGGGATCGGGGAATGCCGAGGGGAGACGACACCCGCACCCGCCGTGCCGGCTGGAGAAGGGAGCGGAGAGCACCGGCGCTCAACTTTCCCCCTCGTCCCCTCATCCCAGCCACCCCCGGCCCTGCCCAGCGGTAACTTTGCCCCCCCGTCCTGCCCTTCCCTTCCCTTCCCGGCGGATCCCCCGTACCTGGCAGCGGCGGCCCGGGCCGGCGGCGCCCCGGCGGGCGGCGGAGCCATGCGGCGAGCCCCGGCGGGGGCCGGCGGTGTCCGGGCACGGATGGAGGCGGCGGAGCCCGGTGGGATGGCGGGGATGCCCAGGCGGGAGGCGGGCAGCGCCTGGGGAGGGATGGAGGGAGGGATGGAGGGAGGGAGGCAGAGCTAAGGAAGGGATGCAGGCAGCGCCCGGGGAGGGAAGGAGGCTCTGCCCAGGCAGGGATGCGGAGGATGCCCGGGAAGGATGCGGGCAGTGCCCTGGAGGGAAGGAGGCAGCACCCGGGAAAGGGGGCAGGGAATGCACAGAGCGAGCCGCAGGAATCCAGCAGAGACACCGGCTTCTCCCGGGGCTCTGGGGAGGCGCCGATGGGAAAAGACCCTCCCATGTCCCCCCTGCAGTGTGCTGGGTGCAGCGGCGTCACCCCTTCCCTCGCCCGGCGGCATCTGGGCTCTCATGCCCACCCCGGACGAGTCCCACGGGCCGGACTCCCTCGGGGGAGGTGGGCAGGAGCCCTCCCAGGGCGTCTTTCCCTCCTCCGACACCGCTGCTCGCTGTGCTCTGGGGCACATCGCTTCACCTCCTGCCGTGCCGGCCCCTGGAGGGGCTGGGGGCTTCTCTGTGCCCGGGGGGACCCTGAGCCCAGGCTGGCCGCAGGCCCCACCAAAGGAGGGACATTCCTGTTGCAGTGTCTGCATTTTTGGGTCACCCCGCACGGAGCTTTTACCTGCGTGCTGGACAGAGGGAAGATGCTGCCTGCACCTCCAGGACCATGGTCCAGGCCCCCGGGACACGCTGCTGATGGAATCCCTGCACCCCTCTGCTCCTCGGAACAGCCCCCAGACCCCACTCCGGCTGCCTGTGACACCGGCGAGCACCGAGGTGTCTGCACAGGTCTGGCGGCGATCACACACGGGCTTGGCTGAGCCCGAGCTCCGGCAGCTCGGCCGGGCTCCCCCCAGCCTCGTCAGCACCTTCGGCTGGGAAAAAACATCATCTCCGGGGGCTCCTCTCCAGGGGGAGGAGGGGGTGCAGGGGGAAACACAATGCCACATCCCTCCTGGGGGACAAGGGGACGGCAGACACAGCCCCACGGCTGGGGGGCACAAGGACAGCCTTTGTGCCACCCTGGCAGCAGCGGCAGGCAGAGGCGGTCACAGCCCCTTCGCCGTGTCCCGCCTTGCACCCGGGCTGGCAGAGATCGGGGCGTTATTTCCCTGCAGAGCTGCCCGATGCTCGCAGCAGGGCAGTATTTGTGTGTCCCTGGGGTTATCGGCAGCCCGAGACGCTGCTCCCATCCCCGCATGGCCATAAAGCAGCGCCGAGCCCGGGAATGTTGCCGGGAGAGCGCAGGGATCGGGCTGCACATGAACTCTCCTGCACAATTCAGGCTCCAGCCTCGGGGCTATTTTTAGAAGTTCCCTCCGAGATGCTCTTCAGTTGCAGTTTTATGTGTGAAATTTAATACACGAGGACGGGGGGGAGGGGAGTGGGGCTGGATCCCGGCATGTCCCTGCTGGTTGGGAGGTTTATCCCAGTCTCAGCGACACAAGCGCAAGGCAAACCTAAAATCATCCATCCAAGAGTTCCTGCGTCCTGATGTGCAGGTGGCAGCAAGGGGATGGGCAGAGCTGGTGGCTGTGGTCAGCTCCTGCCTCCTCCCCTGAGTCCCTGTCTCCCCCACAGCCCTTCATGGGCTCAGGGAGCTGCTGGCACTGGCACGGAGCAGGATGGGTGTGAGGCCGGCGGGAGCAGCAGGATTTTGGGGAGCCCACCCAGCACAGTGGGATTTGCCCCAGCTCCAGCCAGAGCAGCAGGGCACAGCTCAGAGGTCCCTGTCCCACAGCGTGGGAACAGGGAAGGCTCTGGGGACCAATCCCCCCCGGCAGTTCCCAGCTCAGGGAGCACCACCTGTGTCCCCTGAGCCCCACGGGTGACAAAGCCAGCTCCCAGGGGGTTGGGTGTCCCTGCTGACAGGGCACAGAGTGTCTGCAAATCCACAGCAGCAGCAAAGACCAGTTTGTTTTCCAGGAGCCTCTGGCAGAGCAGGGAGGGAGGATGAAACCTTTTCCTTTGCCACAGGACAGGAAGGGACAGCAGCACACAGGGCAGAGCCCCGAGCATCCCACAGCAGCTTTGGTTCCTGTGGGGCCAAATGCTGCTCCAGGCCCATCTCCAGCAGGGAATGATGATCCCATCCCAGGCACACCAGGGATGCAGGAAGGGACACAACAGCAAGATCAGGGACCCCAAGCCAGCCTGTCATTTTTGTTACCTGACACGTACACCTGCTTCCAACACAAAACCATCCAGTGCAGGGCAACACTTGTGGATATGGTACCTGCCCTTCACAGAGGGTGGAAGTTCCCAAAAATCCAGGTGCTGCTCAGCCAAGGCTGGGCAGAGTGAGGGAAAAGGTTACCCTGCTTCAGAGCAACACCCCCCAAACCTGCTGCTTGTTCTATTGGATTTCTGACCACTTCAGGTACTGAGCTCGGCTCTGGCCTGGCACAGAGGTTTTGCAGCCCAACCCATCCTGCTTGAGATGGGACCAGAGATGGCAAAGCCCTCTGAGAAACAGCAGCACCAGTGCAAAGCAACCCAAACACATCACTGACTCCCAGGATTTTACCATTTCACCACGGGGAAAACAGGTCACACTACACACAGCCCCCCTGGAGCCCCAAAAGGGCTAAATGGGTACATCCATCTCCTGCTCCACATCTCAATCTGTCCCTGCTGCCCTTTGAGATGAGGAGAAGCAGCTGTTGGAGCACCAAGGAAACTTGCTGCCTCCTCCTCCTGCAAGCCCCAAATTTAGGGGTGCTGTGCTGCAGAAGGGCCTGGTGAGCAAACAGTCTCCTTCCCACCAAATGCAGCCTTCAGCCCTGCTGCTCCCCTGGGCAGAGCCAGCATCAGGGGAATGGCTCCTCTCCCCATTCCCACAGAGCCACACGCAGCCAGAGCCTCGTGGAAATGACTTTATTGACACGGAGGGCAGGGAAAGCCTGAAGAGCAACACGAACGGGAACACTCGAACGAGCAGGGGCGGAGGGAACGCCACCGATGAGCCCCGGCTCCGCCCCGGGCTGAGACACCCATCCCAAAGGCTGGGAAGGAATTTGGCCAGAGAAGGGGGGGGCTCAGCGACCCCTCCCCACGCCGAGGCTGCGCTCTCCTCCCTGCCCCACACAGCATCAGTGCCACTGGCGCTTCCTTAATTGCTCCGTTAATGATTTTTACACTAAACCCGCAGGGCTTGGAGCAAATCGCCTCCCAGCACACGTGGGCAAGGCTCAAGGGCTGGGTTGTTCCAGCTCTGCCCCACTTTCTTCCCCCCAGGCAGAGCACAGGGGTTCCTACACAGGGACACCACCTTCCTCAGGGTCGTGCAGCTCCTGGGTCCTGCTGGAGCCTCTCCCAGGACACTGTGACCTTTTCCCAGCACTGGTTTCTTGGCTGCAGCCAGTGCCAAAGCCCTGATGGACGATCTCCCACCGTGAAACATTTACTGACTTTGAAAGTGGCATCTAAAAGGACGACAGGGGGGTTGCGACACGCAAGAGCTTTGTTAGCTGGGGTGGAGATGCCCAAGCATGCTGGGGAGGGAGAGGCTGATCTGGACTGGGGCTTGCATTAAGCAGGACAAGCTATGGATGGAGCAGGGACATGCAGGAGGCTTTGCTTTCACTGCTGTTGCTGCAGCACTGAGTGGTTGCAACGGGGTGACTCCACAGCTGTGGAATGGAAGGGAAACACTCCTGGCTCTAAGGGACAGCTTGGAAAAGAGGGGCCAGGGCATGGGGCTGCTTGGGACAGGGACTCAGAGCAGGAACCTGGCTGGCTCTGGGCACAAAGAGTGGAGCTGCCAACGGGAGAAACCCTTCCATGAGCTGCTCCACCCAGCCCAGCTGGAAGCTGAGTGCCCCAGGCAGGCAGGGAGCAAACACTGCCAAGCCCAAAACACCTCCCACCATGCCCAGCCTGGGGTTTGGGGGCAGCATGGCAACAGGGAGAGCCATTCCACTCCCCTGGCATCCTGGGGCACTGCCAGCAGCAGCCCCTCTCTGTGGGGGCCTGGCTGACACTGCAGCTCCACTGGGGAAGTGGCAGTGCCACATCTGGATGTGCCACCACGAGCCTGGGAATTGCCAGGGCCAGCACTGGGACAGGGGGGCACAGCTCAGGGATGGCTGAGGAGGCAGCTTGGCCTCAGCAGGCACAGAAAAAATGGGAGGAAGAGGAGCTGCACATGGGTGAGGATGCAGAGACCACACCAGGAGCTCTGGCATGAGCCTTTTGCTCTAACAGCAGGCTCAGCTCTTTCATTTCATCCACCCCTGTCCTGTTCCCATCCAGGCCTGCAACTCCTCCCCACACAAAAGCAGCCTCACTCCTCAAATCACCAGCTCATGAGGCAGGGAGATGGCTGCAGTGAAAACACCATTGAAGCCAGCACAAGAGTAATAAAAACCCCTCCTTAGGGCTCCATCCCCCTCCTAGGACCCCACTGATGGCTCTGTTCCTAATTCCCAGAGGCTGTGCTCACCCTGCTAGAGCCCAATGTCCCTGCAGGGCTCCCAAGACTTCCTTGCAATCACCTTCTCTTTAAGCCAATTACTATAGAAAACCTCAAAAAAAAAGTATAAAAATATAAAATAAAGTGCAGTGTTATGTTTTCGACACTTTTGCCTTGTTTTAATGAGCAGATGTGTGGTTTTTGCTCGGTGTTTTTCTGTTTTTCCAATGAGCAGTTATTTTACAAAATCCAAACTACACCTAAAGCCATTTAGAAAACACTGAACATTGGCACAAAATGGAGAGAAGCCCACGAGAACGGATGAGTGAGGGGCGAGGGGCACATGGGAGTAGTTTGAAGCAGTGGTTACAAACTCCATGGACACTAAAAATACCAAAGGGGCTTGTTCCCTATCATCGTTAGCACGTGGATACTAATTGCTACCTTGTTGAATCAGTGCCTTTGACTGAAATCCTACACATGAATACAGCTGCTTCCAGTTGCGAGTGCTTTT